TATATATATATGTATTGACATGCATGCTGCTGCTAGGTGTCATCTACTACCGCCACACGAGCAACAACAACGATCATATGGCAATGTGCGAGTAAGCCTGTCGTGTTGCCAGCACAGCTGCTATTAAAGCATATAATTGTGTTGCGGGCCATTACAGCTAGCTGCATGTCGCCCGAGGTGGCATTTTAAATGCCCACAACATACGTTGATTAAGTTGTTGTGGCTGCCACAGCGTAGTTAATACTTAAATTAATTAGTACACACATACTGTATGCCACTATATAGGAATATAGCAGACTTTCTACAATGAAAGCACAGAGGCAAATCAGAGTTTATGCAAAAGAGGCGCAGAGTTGCCACTGTCTGCGGTAGCGACTGTCAAGTAGCAATAAACAGCTTGCATCAAGTGCAATGCTAGCGGATGTTGTTTGAAAACATCTTTCGTTGCTGTCGTATTTGTTGTTGTTGTAATTGCCACTGTCAAATAACGCCAAGCAGTTGCTGAGGAAATTGAAATGATAACAGAAATTGGAACTACTTGCAGCAACTGCTAATTACAGCCTGTCCATAACACTGACGTTGTCTGTCCAAGTGTTCACTTGGCGGTGTGAATACTAATTTCGTCGTTATAAATATATGTTAGTTGTAATTATTAGCTAGTTTAATATAAAAATAAGTAATTCGAAGACAATATCATCGGTACATATTTTCAGTAAAAGAGAGGGGGGAGAGATCGGGCACAATACCTATTGGGTTCGGAGTTCTTGGACGGGTAACGGTGCACTGCAACCATTTTTTTGTAAATTTTTTCTCCAAAAATTCTCTATACTCATCTCTCCGAATTTCGCTCTAACCCTGGTGGCGTGGAATGGTTAGGCAATCGCATCCGTGAGACCATTTTACATCACTGAGGCACAATCTGAAAAAATTTCTGGGGTGTTTTGTGATCGTCGACTCGGCATGGACCCACGGGTTCACAAAAAGGACCAAGAAGCATCGACCATAATCGCCACCCTTTACTTTAATCCCAAAGTGTGATCTACATCGACTGCTGGGGAAGGTTGAAACGGTTTTTGCGGTCTATTATGTCGAATAATTGGATCAATTCGATATCAGACAACCGAAATTAGATTTAGCAAAGAAAACAGTACTTTTCTAACACGACCACTCATCAGCTTGAAGCCAAATTGCTAAACTTAAACGATCAACTGAATTATTTTAAAAATTTAGCCTTTTTAGTTTGTGAAAAGGGAACTACCCAAAGAAAATTTCAGTTTGGCAACGAAAGCTTAAGAGTATAAAATGTTCAATTTAAGAAGCTCTTCATGAAAATTCATGGACCGAACGCAGATCGCTTATTTATTTATTTATTTATTTATTATTTGTAAAATAATAATACAATTATTATTATACATTAAACATAAGGAGCACTAGCTACAGAGGCTTTCAGCTCAGATCGCTTATTATTTTAGACATCACTTCCTGTAAAAAACCACAGAGAGATCAGAGAGGACGCAACCGAGTGAAGGAATTTTGTCCCAGTATTTTCACTATGAAACTCCTAAAGACCTAGGTGCGACACCAGCTACCTATTTTCTGTAAAAAACCTCAGAAATCACGAACCAAATATGAACTCGTTCCAACGAGTTACTAATGTTATCGTATTCATTACTTTATTTTTTGTATTTTTTTACGCACACCTTACCCACTGTGCCTTCCATTGACCATTTGTTTGTGCCAAATCCAATCAGTCGTGCAAACCAACTGTTGTTACCAGCCCACTTGCAGCAATTAGTTTTGTTTTTTTTTTGTACTTTTTCGTAGATAGCCGATATGAGAGCCGAGTTTCGTGAATGAAATTGATTTTGGTCAAACACCAACAATAACAACAACTAGGTTGGGTACACATAAAATAAAAATGAATGTGACAGCCACGCAAAAATTTTGTTGTTGTATGAGTATTTCTTACTTTTTTTTACTTAAAACAAGAACGCAGTGCATATGTTACCCAGTAAACACGCACCGCTTAGCAGAGTATCAAAGCGTAGCACAAGCGCGACACGCATGCGCTAAACGCCCAGTTGAGAACCGTGACAAGAGTGAAGACATGCGACGCCGTATATACGTGTATGTGTATGCTGTTCAACCTAGAGCAACTATTTACTCTTGCATCCTCCTCAGTCTTCCTTTCTGACATGTCTGCACCAGTGACGTCGTCAGTTGGATACATGCGCATGCGAGACATTCGCCAACCCACTGACTGCATGTCTAAAGATGATTAAAGTATAATGATTAGCAACAGGAACAATGTACGATAAACAATAAAGTAAGCGTCTCGCCAACTTGTAGAAAAGGTAAGCGCGTAGAATGAAGGCTTGCTGTGTGAAACCTACGCTCAGCTCAGCTCAGCGGAAGACGATGACTTTGGATGTGCTGGATTCTAACGTCTGGCTTTCGTATTCTTGTTATTTTTTCTACCTTTCTTTTCTTTTTAACTTCCTTTGTTGCTGTTTTACCTTATTTTCTTTATTTGTATCTTCCATTCTTGTGTCTAATCAATGCGTGATGCCTATTGCTCAACTCCAAAATCAACTCTTCTACCATTTGTCGTATCTCTTCTTGTTATATACCGTTATTTAAGCCACTAAATTTTTTTAACCATGTGGCAAAGCCACAGGGAACATTTATCTAATTTCATAAGTATTTAAACAGCGGATAACTGAACTTTTCGCTAGATCACAAAAACAAAGTATCACTTCGTTGAGCAGCTAATTTCATGTTTTGGGCCGGTCAAGATCGTGTGATATCACACCGTTAGACTTCTTCCTATGGCGAGATCTGCAAAGTCTAAAGTCGATGCAGATAATCCCGCTTCGTTTCAGACCTTGAAACGAAACATCACTCATGTCCTTCGCCAGTTACCTCTCGTACTGCTCGAACGTGTCATCGAAAATTGGACTCAATGGATGAACCATAGTGAGACGTAGCCGCGCTGATTATTTGAAGGAGATAATCTTCCAAAAATAAATGTCAAAGAATGTTCCTTCAAATGATATACACAGCTAACAATAAATTTGAAGTTTCTGTGTTTTTTCTTTAAAAAAGTACGGAAACTCGAAATGGATCACCCTRTATGTAGATATTTGTATGTATGTACTCAAGTCATATTTAAGCATGTTCCTAAATTGTTAACTAATTTGATTAGACTCGGTCGCGACTTGGCGATTTGTTACTGCATTGTAAGATTCATTCTGAGCTGGTGTCGATAACGAAAAGAATGTACGCAAATATGTATATCCGTATAAGTATACCTTTATTTACGTGCACCAGTGGTGGCGCTGGTTGGATTATTGGTAGGTATAAACACAGAGGGTTTTGAGCTCAGAAGTATTTGACTCAAGAGCGAACTACATGCTAAAGGAAACAAGGATTTTCGTAATTTTTAAGCGAAATATAACTTTTCTCAACGGTTCCAACTAAACTGTTAAAAGCGTCTACAGCAATACTACTTGTAAAACAGTTAAACAATATGCGTGTTATTTTGAAGGAACTTTAAGTTATGCTACCGAGTTTAGAGTCCTTGGTTAAAGAAAAGTCTTGTTATGCTCTGTCATGCGAACCGTTTGTGCTCACTTAGATATAATACTTCAGTTATCATATTTTTTTTGTTTTAATTTCAGAGGTTATTTTTTTGAGGGACGTTTGGAAGTCATCTGTTGTCTTTAGAATCGACTATTCGGTTTTTCATTTGCTTAATGACATTTTAGATCTATATTTGAATACTCAGTCGGATAAAATTGAATCCGTCAATGTAGAGTCAATTGTGTTGGGATTTTATAAGTAATTAATGTCACTGGGCCAGCGTAAATCGTAAGAGGTCTAGTGAACTCTGCGTTCTCAGCCAAGTTCTTTTTTCAATGGGTATAGGACTTCGAAAAGAGCACTGCCCGATCAGGATTGGTGCGGTAAGAAGTAATATTTGACTGGATGCCAGGTATTTGTAAGAAGTTGAGATAGAATAATCTCAACACTTCTTGAATGTCGAATGTCGCCGACAACTAATATCCAATTACAGAAGTCTTTCATTTGGATCCATAAATATACTGTATAATAGTCTAAGTGTGTTCCCTGCGATCTTGTAGATAGATCAGTTATCTAACCTAATCATCCCAGCCTCACCGTCTGATGGTGTATAGTCGCGAGATCTATTACTGTCATGTGGTACATTCTCATTCTACTATCGAATTTGTGAACAATTTTCGTTTTGTGACCATCGACGAAGCACAAATCCACTGGCACTGGCATAATTTTCAGAAATTCATAAGACTCATTTTTAGATAGATTAAAAAAGTTGAAACACCTCTAGTTTAAGTGTATCGAGGCTATACTGCAAATTAAATCGGCATTTTGCAAAAATTTCCTTTTTTTATAAGCTAAGTATATATATACTTATCGGATTACCCTCTTAGAACATCTACTATATACTTATAAGATCACCCCCACACATTTTCCCTCCATGCCTTCTTTGTCATTTATAAAATTTTAATTTCTTCACTTGCCAACCTCCCATCAAAAAAAAATTCACCTCCACTGTGGTGCAAAGGTGAAACCGCACATTTCAACATAATCACACAACCGAGAAGCGACTTTGCGTCGTGCCATTCATCTTCGTTGTGAGTAGAATACTCGTACTCGTGTGTACTTAAACTTTCATCACCGATAAGTGGCAACGCCGTAAACGTTATGCGGTAAACTGAACTGTGTATATTTGTGGCTGCTTTTTGTTGTTATTTGTTTGAAATGCTCAATAGGCTGCAAGCAAATTTGATTATTAGATTCCTTCTCAAGAAAACATAATATTTCCGCCGAACCGCGCCATTACCGCCATTGCCATACATGAAAAACTTTCTGCCTTGTGTTTTGCGCACAATTTTATGATTATTTTTTCTCATTTTATGTTTTTTCTTTAATATTTCTCTGCTCTTCTACTTTCTTTGCAGCATAACCGGCAGGAGTCCATATCCCCGGAATATCATCGCTATGCAAGTATTAGTAAATTGCCGAAAGCGGTGGCCGCATCGCAGACTACATATACCGTTACAGCGGATATACACCACGCTAACAATAGTAACAACAATCACAGCCACAACAACAATAATGGCAATACCATTAGCAGCATCAGCAGTGGCGGCAGCGGCAGCAACAGCAATTGCAATACGGTCAGCAGCACAGCTAGCAGCAGCAACAATAACAACGGTCACAATAATATTAGCAATAACCATTACAATAGCAACAACAACAACAGCAGCAGCATGCAACAGTCTGCACAGCAACACCAACAACAGTTACACTATAATGCCGGCGATGCAATCAATGCATCTTCATTTGCCACACCACCGACACGGCGACGTTTCTTTAATCACAAGAATTTGCGCAGCGCCTTGACCGGACACCGGCGCACCGCCTCGAATGGTGGTGTGCCCACAGATGCCGCCACAACGATACTCGTCGATGGTAAGTCACTACACGTAGCTCTTAAAACACTAGCACATCGGGACTTAGCCATACACAATGCACAAGTTTGGGTTTACTTGGTGTGGTAATGAAGTAACGAAGTTGAAGCCTCGTTTGCACATATATAAGACTCATCATCACCCTTAAAGAAAGCTTTCAGCTATGCTTCACAACTTAATTTTTTTAATTTTGATGTTTTCGAAACACTAACCTAGAAAAAGTCTGTCGGACCTATTCAAATAAGGGATAATTTCATACAGTTTTAGTTTACAGTAAAGGTTGAGAAAAACACACAAAAACTTCAAATTTAATGGGGAATGTTTATTATCATTATGTTTTGTGGATTATCTCTATTCAAGGAAAGCTTTCATCTATGCTTCACAACTTTATTTGTTTAATTTTGATGTTTTTCGAAACACTATCCTAGAAAAAGTCTGTCGGTCCTAGAAAGGGAAAGAAGGGATAATTTGGTTTACAGTAAAGGATGAGAAAAAATACAAAAACTTCAAATTTAATGGGGAATGTTTATTATCATTATGTTTTGTGGATTATCTCCATTCATTGAGTCCAATTTTATGTGACATAGACTTTAGATTTTGTGGCCAATCGACCGACTAAAAACGTGAAATTATGTGCTCATCGAAGAGTTCTCTCAATTAATCCATTGATTGATTCGATGTGTGGGAAACCATATGTTTTCGAGATCACGAGCTTCAATTTCAGGCATCACGGTTGCCATTGGCGGTTACGTTCTCACCGGCATCATGATTCCACCGGCACATAAACCACACCAAACCGTTATATTTTCTGGATGAAAAAGAAGCTCTTGAATCAATCAATCCCAAATGCGGCAATTGATTGTTTACATATATACTCATTGAGCCAGAAATGGGCCTCATCGCGGCACAAAATTTGACTCGAAAACATTGAATATTCTTGGAACTTTACAAGAATTCATAAACCGAAGCGATGTCGCTTAAAAAGCAGCTTCAGTTCTTACAGAAGCTCTTTTTTGAATGTTTTTAATTTAAATTGTGCCAAGTCGTTACGTGCGTCAATCGGAGTCGCTACGAACGGCGTCGAATCGACTCTTCACGGTCTTCGTCTACACTCTCAGCTACGGCTGCTCTGAACTTAGCCTATTTGGTCGAATATAACCAGTTTCTTTGGGAGAAAAGGAATTTTGCAAAATTTTAGAATACAGCAAAAGCTCAGAGACTATTTCGTCGATATGGTATTATGTTCACGATTGAGTGAAAGGACATGACTCAACCTCGTAAAACTCGTTTCACTAATCATACATTTTCGTTAGTTTTCCAAAATAAAAATAATATTAAATTCATTACTTAATAACCACACCTTGTAAGCGCAGTCCAGCACTTTTGCATATTCGCCAAATTTGATGGATTTTCATTTTGACTATTGGTTTTGGTGTTGACTAGCAATATTTGAGGTGTTCGAGGTGAACATTCAAACAGCAATTTTTTTTTTTTTTTAGCGCTTTTCTAACTCTTAAGTTGCTTCTAAGCAACACTTAAACGCAATAAGTGGCGAAAGGCCGTTCGTTAGTCAAACGTTGAAGTGGCCAACCAACTGTCATTGGCTTTGTCGGGCGCTCCTTTGATTTGTAGCTGTGAAAGTACTGTTTGTTCGACTACTTGCCGGCATTCGTATTGGTGGAGTGTGAACGTTGCGAGTGACGAGCGAATAGTGACTACGGGAGCGTGGAAGTTAGTGTGGTCATGTGACGTGCTTGTTGACTGCACGTGCAGCCGCGGTCGAGGTCAATGGCTAATGGATAACAAAATAAATTTAGTAGTGTCATCGACGTACTGACCATCTAACGGCAGGAACGGACTGAAAGGAGAAAATAGATTGTAAATGCTGGGATTTAGCAGAAAAATTTATGGCTTTACCGATCAACATGGGGTTTTGAAAGTACAAAAGTGAATTAAAAATAGTATTTTGTTTAAATTTTTTTTTAATGCAGTTATGCAAGTCTAACCTAAAAACCTCGGTTCATGATCAAATATACGTGGCACATTTCTGTGCCAATCGGAATAGAAATCGTTAAAAGGTTTATGATTCAATTAACATTAAGCAACAATTCTCAACAAATTTATAACTAACTAAATACATATGTACCATATACTTTATTATGCCATAAATTCTGTTACAAGTTCAGATATACGAAACGCCACGTTCTCCAACTCTGAGCTATGGGTACATTATTTGTACTATTGCTTTGAAGTCTGCTGTATGGTTTTTGTTTAGTCATCTTTTAGGATGCCTGCGCTTGGCGCGAATGTTCACAAAATCTGTGACCTTGCTACAAATACCTCCTACAGCGCATCATACCGTGGAGACCCCAGATGCTTACAGCGTAGTCCTGCCAATGCGGAACAAGTACACAAGAGATGCTATATTATTTCCCTGATGCCCTACTCCAGACTTTTCGTGCAGTCTACTCGATTTTTCTCTCTATGTAGGTGTTGACTCTGGAATTTCCTGCAGGAGCAGGACAGCTCCACGGCTTTCGCGATAACAAAGACCTCAGCTTGAAATATACAGCAGTGGTTTAAGAACTCAAAAGGCTATGCATAACTCTGTACAGTATTCCCCGCACCAACTCCATCGTGCATTTCGAGCCATCCGTATTAATGTTTAGAGTGTTGCGCGTAGCTAACATACCTTTACGCCAACCATCTTTTTCTATGTTTACTTTGAACTCTCTTACCCGTTTTCTCTGGGTTCAACCCTAGACCTGCTTTCGATGCCCAATTCTGATCTGTATTTCGCCGACCAAGTTCTTCCTAGCAGAGTATCATTACAAACTTCATTGGTCATTCTAGTTGCGCTCCATTCTGCTCTTTCCTTCTTTCAGGATTAACACCTATGGGCTGGATGCTAATCAGAATAGACTCCGTAGAGACGTTGTTGAACGTTCCAGAAATGTTTAGGAATGTTTCAAGAGCGTATTACTTATGTTTAAGAGCCCTTTCGATATTAAATACCAGTGTATTGTGTGTAGTCTCTACTGATCTGCCCTTCATATATGCGTGCTGCGTAGACAAGCTTCTAGGAAGCGTTGCGGCCCTAATGAGCACGGCCAAAATTTTCTCTAGCGTTTTCAGAAGGAAGTTAAGCTTATCGGCCTAAGCTCTTTAAAATAGATTAGGTTGTGAAAACTACCCTAACCTCTTTCTATGAGAGCGGCACATAGCTGAACTTTTTATTCTCTATAAAGAGGTATTCGGGAAAGTTAATCATGTTACACACTGACTAGGTCTTCCAATGAAACCCTAGCAGTTGTCCGACCACTCTCCTCAACTTTTGCGAATTTTAATGGTCGAAGTGGGATTTTTGGATAGTAATATCCTAGGCCTCGTCACTTTGTTGGTATTTTTAAAGCCACTACAAACGTTCTTCCAGGATCGTCGCTTTGTTCTGCGCACCAATTTCTTGTAGTCTCATAGAATATCTTTATATTCATTCCAACAGTCCTCGCTTTCTGCTAGCTCGGCCAAGTTGAAGCATTCCCGTACTTTATGTTTGCAAGTTCTTGTTCGGCAAAGGGGAAGCTCACTTCATATTTGTACGTCTATCGGACGAAAATGAATACACTTGCAAAACATTATAATAATAGTAGTGGATCATGGATTTAAATAATGTTCTGTGATATTTCATACAATCGATGTATTCATCCACCGAAAGAAAATCTGTGGCGATATCTAATTTCATTTACAATCAGTTAGCACATAGTTAGTTTTAGCATCCATATATCTATTAGTACTAACAGATAATATACATATATATAGTATCACAACCGTTTCCGGTTTTCACTAACAATCCGCACACATAATTTAGCAAAAGCACACTATATAACATTTGCACACCACTCATCGCCATTACAAACATTTTACAGGCAAAGATAATAATGCACTAAATACATCGACCTGCTCCGATTCGGCAGTTACGCGACGCCGCCGTCAGAAGGTCAGTAACAATGTGAGCGCTGCATCCACACGGCCAACAGCGGCTGGCAGTGAGAATAGACTAAATCGCTTAAGTCTCGCCGGCACCTCGGTCTATGCGGGACATCTTTCATCGTTGGTTTTTGGTAAAATCAAATCGTTATGGAGCGTCAATTCAACCTCATCGGATGCGGGACTTAATCAATTTGCAGGCACGAGCATTTGCAACGCATATTACCATTACTCTTTTCGTTTTGCACTTTTTTGCTTGCATTACATATATATTTGTATGTTGCGCTATGAGCGGCGCTTTTCTACCGAAGCTCAAGTGTGCATGTCCGTTTCTTTTAAGCATGTTTCGTATAGTTCTGACACGTTTTCATATATTTCCTTTAGTTTTTGCATGTTTCGTTACGTCAGCGAGTACTCTTCCGCTACAATTTAACTTATATTTTTTTCTTTATTTTTTTTCTCTTTCGCGCACAGGCAACGATGATCATGCGCTAACCGTCGCCGAGAAACAGAAAGATCAGTTGCGTGCCCGTCTCGGTCTGCTGCTGGACAGCGATCAGCATGGCAATACGAACACGACGACCAGCAGCAGCTCATCCCAGAATATCAGTCCCGAACAGACGCTATCGGCTGGCTGTGCCAATGCTTTTGGCTCACAACTCTCCGTGATCACCAAGGATGATACGCTCAGTTTGGCTGGCAAGCTGAATGCGCTGTCGGTGTCCACCGATAACAGTGATGTATTTCCAGTGAAGGCGCGCAAAACAGGCGTGCGACGTTCAGCACGCGCTGGCCAATTGGCTGGCGGCGCCGGCAAGCGTAATGCCATTTACAAACCGGCCAACGTGCAACCAGTGCAGCTGGCTTTGAAGCCGCTCTTCTTTGAAGTACCACTACCCGAACCAGATCCACCATTTATCGGACGACAGTGGCTGTTGCGTGAGCTCTCCAACATACTTACCGGCACCGAAACGCCGGGAGTGCTGATCAATGGCAATCCTGGTACGGGCAAGACGGCGCTTATCTTGCAATTGGTTGAGTATTCGTGTTTCGGACGACGTAAGAACAGCAATAGCAACAGTGATCCAGATGGTATCTACTGCCCCATCAATCTCGGTAACGATCGCTTACGCGCTTTGGCCTCACACATTGTCGGTTATCACTTTTGTCAGGCCGATTCGAACCTCACTTGCCTAGTACCCGACTTTGTGCACTCATTGGCTGCACAATTATGTCAAGCGCCACAACTGGAGGCGTATCGTGAGTATCTACTAAGTGAGCCACATTTGCAGGATATATTGAGCGTTAAGGAGTGTATTGCTGATGCGGAGCGCGTTATGCGTATGGCTATTTTGGAACCGTTGATTGTGCTAAAACGTGCCGGTAAGATACCGACTAAGACTTGCGTCATACTCGTCGATGCTTTGTGCGAGGCGGAGTATCATCGTCCCGATCACGGACACACAATCGCCACTTTTCTTGCCAAGATGACGCAGCACTTTCCCTCGTGGCTGAAGGTGGTCGCCACGGTGCGCACACAAATGCTGGAGTTTGTTAAGGGTTTGTCGTATACGAAGATGACGCTCGATAGTTGGGCCTCAAACGATCTGCTGCAGAAGGATATGCTCGACTACATCACATTCCGTGTGAATCACAGCGTGGAAATACAGAATAATATTGCGGCTGTGAAGGATCACAATAGCGGACAACTGAAGTTTATCGGACACTTGCAAGCGCTAACAAAGGGTTCAATGTTGTACGCCAAGCTTATACTGGATCTCATTGAACGCGGTCAGTTGGTAATCAAATCGACCAGTTACAAAGTGTTGCCTGTGAGCTTGGCGCAAATCTTTTTACTACACTTCAATTTGCGTTTCCCCACCAACAGCAGTTTCGAGAAGGCCGCGCCCATATTGAATGTCTGTTTGGCCGCTTTGTATCCGCTTACCTTGAATGAAATTTACTACACCATTTGCGCTATGAAGACCGACGAAGTGCTTAGCTGGGATGAGTTCTTGCAACGCTTCAAGCTACTCGATGGCTTTCTTATACGTCGCATCGACAATACGTACATGTTTTTCCACTCTTACTTCCGTGAATGGTTAATCCGACGTGACGAGGGTGAGTCGTTGAAATTCCTATGCGATTTTCGACTCGGCCACGCGGCCATTGCATTTCGGCTATCGCGCATGCAAGCGCCACTTGATCCCGAACAAACAATGGAACTTGGACATCACATGCTGAAGGCGCACATTTACCGCAACTGTCAAGGTCCACAACTACCGCGCGATATGCAATCCTTCTGGGTCGCCACCGTCACTGATAACATATCGGCCGCGCTTGGTTCTTTGCGCAACGTTTACAGCCCGAATTTAAAAGTGTCGCGCTTGATTTTACTAGCTGGTGCTTCCTCACACTACCGCACTGAGTTCATGGGCGGCGCAACAATACTCTGCATTGCGGCTCACGAGGGCATAATGCCAATGGTGAACTTACTGCTAGAGTTTGGCGCTGACGTGAGTCTAACTAACAGTCAAGGCTGCACACCCCTTATATTGGCTGCCATACGTGGTCACGCTGATGTTGTACGCTTGTTGGTGGCTGCAGGCAGCAGTTTAGGGCAAACAGATACAACACAGCGCTGTGCATTGGTACATGCCGCGCGCACCGGACGTTTGAATGTGGTGAAATATTTGCTGGCTTGTGACTGGACGCCGCGTCCCAATTCACAGGATGTTAGTTTGTCGATGGCGCTGCAGCAATCGCTTATCGCCGCGGCAGCACAAGATCACGTATCCATCGTTGAGGATTTGCTAGAAATCGACGACATCGATGTTAATCTCATCAATGAGGCATGCGGTGAATTGCCGCTAACCGCAGCGGCACGTAACGGTTGCAGCGATACAGTCGCTATCTTATTGTCAAAAGGCGCGCGTATTGATGCGCGCAATAAACAAGATTTTACCGCGCTCTGGTTAGCAGTAAAAGAAGGACACTGGGCGGTGGTGGAGAAGCTGATACAAAATGGCGCTGATATGGACGAGCCAGTAACCGCAGCGCGCAAAACACCGCTTATGATTGCCGCTGAAGAGGGTCACATTGAACTGTTGGAGTTATTGATTGAACGTGGCGCCGCGCTGGAAGCACAAGATGAGGAAGGCTTTACGGCGCTCTCATGGGCAAGTCTACGTGGACGCCAACCGGCCGCCAAGTGTCTGATCGAACGTGGCTCCAATCGTAATCACGCCGATAACAAGGGGCGTACACCCCTCGATTTGGCCGCATATCAAGGCTCTGCCGCTTTGGTGCTCTATCTACTCGAACAGGGCGCCAATATCGAGCATATCGATGTGAATGGCATGCGTCCACTCGACCGCGCGATTGCTTGCCGCAATATACAAGTTGTACAAGTATTTTTGCGTCGCGGAGCCAAGTTAGGCCCTACCACCTGGAGCATGGCTATGGGCAAACCGGAGATTTTGATAGTGCTGCTAAATAAGTTGCTCGAAGATGGCAATGTTTTGTATCGTAAGAATCGCTTTCACGATGCGGCGCATCGTTATCAGTACGCCTTGCGTAAGATCTCATGTCTGGAGAATTTGTTAGAGCGAAGCGCAATATTTGCACAATTGCGCACCAACTTGTTGCTAAATCTGTCGCGCTGCAAGCGAAAGTTAAATGTAAATACAAATCTTTTTTTTTTTTTTATTCGACTTAACGTTAAATAACGACAACATTTCTCTTTGTAGGAACTTGACGAATCCATCGATTTAGCCACACAGGCCATCGCTCAGAAACCCGCCAGCTATGAAGGCTACTATGCGCGTTCCAAGTCGCGCATGGAAAGTGGCGATTACGACGAAGCGCTTGTCGACGCCAACGAGGCTATGCAGAAAGCATTGCAAAGCGGCGTCTCAACCGAAGTGGTTGCGGTGCTCAAGCGCATACAAGCCGAGTTGTTGGCGCACACCAACAGTGACGCTGGTGTTAATGGTGCGGCAACAGCGCACGTCAGCGCGAATGCTTATGAGGAGTATGCGCTCAGTTGCGCGGACTTTGGCGCTATGGGCTTACAAATGCAAAATGAAAGCTCGGATCTGTAGCTTGTTTTTTGAAAATCACAATACTTACAAGCTTAATTGATTTTTTTGAAAAATTGGTTTTTATTATATTTACGCGCTTTAATTTGCCTTAAATGATTGATTAAATTATAATGCTTATTATTTTCATAAATATTTTAAAATATTATTTTTAAATATTATATTATTTTTATAAATCTTTTTTTTATTATTTGTTTTTATTTTTAATTTAGTGCACTGCATTTCTTTAAAATGGAGCTAAAGATTTGGCGCAGCCAGCCTTTTTTAATATATATTTAAATCATAATTTTAAGTAAAAATGTTTTAATTTTATAATTTGCCGTTGCTGCCTGCATATTTAATTACATACGTATCTACTTATACAATATTAAGTTTACATTTTAAATGCCCTGTATTTATTTGTGTTTGTGCTTTTCGATTTTCAATTAAAAATAAAATTGTATTTCGTTTTGTTTTTTTTATTTTTTAAAGCGAAATTTGTGCACATATTAAAAATAAATTATTTTTGTATTTCTTTAAGTAAAATATATTATTTTAGCCCTTCTCGCAACTCTATATGCCTTGTTGTTGTATAATTTATCTTCTTTGCTTATATTTTCTCAAATAATTATATATAAATGAACAATTACAATTACGATAGCAATTCATAAAAAATAAATTGTTTAAAAATTGATGTTTCATCTGCTTGTAAAATTCATTTAATTATATTTTATTATACATAGGCATTTAAAACTAAATTAAAATTGTGAAATTAAACACACTAAGAAAAAACTAAGTATATTTGTGTGTTTTATTTAAAAACAAAGTTGGTTAAATATTTTTTTTTATATTTTTTCAGCTTATTTTTTTCATACAGCTTATTTAAATTTCTAGTTCTGGCAGTCAATATAATTTTTAAAAATAGTCTAAAAAAATATTTTCGAAGCTTCCATATAAATGAGAGTGTCTTTATTAACTTCAGAAGCGTTTAGAGTTCTTCATAGAAAACGTGTGTAGGCATAGTCTATAAAAAAAAAATATTTTTTTAGTAAAAGAAATAATGATGATTCACGTTTGAAAAATATTTAAACAAATAAAAGCTAAACAAACATTTTACAAATCTTTTTAGTTACAAAAGTAAAATTTTTTGAAAAATACTCTCTCATATTTGTTTTTCGACGATATACATAACATAAATACCCAAAAATCGCAAAATAATTCTTAATAATATTTAAGGGCAAATATCGCGATTTTTGCTGTCTAAACAATATTTTTATTAATTTTTTTTTATGTACATAATTCGATATATATTTTTTTTTTTTTGTGTAAATGTACATAGTTTTACTTTTAATTTAAATTTTTTTTGTTTTTACGTTTTTTACTCATTACACTACTCAACAAATACTACTTCTCCGAAGGAAAAATTAGCGACTGTTGTGCTAAGAGGTTTGGGATGTTCGCATTCGTTTCAGTTCAAATATTTTTTATCACGTTTTTCTCAATTTAGTAAATTGTGGTGGTTTCTGACCCCTTGACCACAACACAAAAAAAATCCTACGTGCAAGTAAACTAGTGTTATTTAAGAGGCATAATAATGTTGTGTATTTTTTTATTATTTTTGGGTGATCAATTAAGGAAATTTTTACTATCATGTTCGGTTTTAGCAACCCAGTCGCAAAATTAGTCAATTTCGCACTCATTTTCTATAAAAAAAAAAAATAACTTGCGCTGCATGCTGCAAGTAGCCCAAATGCTGGTTTTCAGGGGCATCGGTAAGTACCAGACGAACATGTCGTTTATGGCAGGTGCTCTAAAAATAAATATATTAGTTTGTGCCGTATCCGTCTAACAGTGGTGCTCAAACTATGCATAACAGTTTTGTTATCCATGCGTAGTTAAATTTTCAAGAAGTTGTCTTGTGGCATAAAATCAAGTCCAATTTTAAAATTTTTAATAAAAATTAGAAATTATAAAAATTTGGCTAATATAAAAGCTATGAATGAAGATAAATGAAGAAAATATTTTATGAAGCCATTCGTAAAGAAATATCTATCAAAAAAATATATCGTAATAGAAGAATTCTTAAAAGTTCGGCAAATATAATATAATAAAAATTATT